AATTTCTGATCGCCCTAACTTGGCACTGATCAGGGATTAGTGGATTTCCTAATCAGGTCCACATTAGGCGTGGCGTTTCATTCCCTAATAGGGCAAACCTGATTCGGCCCCGATCTGAGCCCTGGCAAAATTTCTACACTGATAATAATCGAAATTTTTTAATAATTATTATATAATTGTTTTTATTCAAAAAAATTGAAATTAAAGAGGAAATCAATTAAATTTTTTTTTCTCTTTCTTTTTTTTTTTGGTTGCAAATTTCCAACGCCCATTGCGCAGTCTTGTCTCGCAGAAAAGCGGAAAGATCTAAGAATCAATGATTTTCAGTGACTGTAAATTGTTGCGTGTCTCGATTTGGCAAACGTTTCTACGTGGGCTGAAATGGCGAGTCGTCAATTGCCGTCTTCCTCCTACTTAACACCTAACGCACATTTTTAGAATAAGAAAATAATCAAAGGAATAAATATATATATATATATAATTTTAAAAAAGATTTACACACTTAAAAAATGTAATTTTTTTTCGAAAGTAAAACGAATTCCATAAATTATATCGAACCCAATGGGTATTTTTTTTTTTTTTTTTTTTTTTTGAATAAAAAATGAAGTGAATTTTTATATTTGTAAAAATCATATTATGCATATCTTAAATGCGCAATTGTAAAACCGGTTTTAAAAAAAGAAGACCTAAAAAGAAAACTAATAATAATACCAAGGTTTCACCCTTTTCGCGCCCATACAGTATTATTCATAAATGACTTCCAGAACCAATTTTGAATAAACAGTTTTAACATATTCATGGAACAATTTTGGTAACTGACAATTTTATTTTTTTATCATATTTATTCTTTTAATATTTTTGTGTCTTTTCAAGTTTTGGTTTAAATTTTATTCTATTCAATTTGTCTTAATTTTATAATTTTTTTTTTTTTTTTTTTTGAAAATAGAGAAAAAGGAATTTAATTTAATCACATCAGTTAAGAGTTTTGTTGAATTTGCTATGTTAGTGTCTATTCGAAATCCAATACTCGAATTTGTAATCTTCTTTGGATGCGGTTTCCACTTTCTTGATTAAGCTGCCCAACATCGTAACAGAGAATAACAGTTAATTTCCGGTTCGAGAAATAAGTTTGTAAAAGTTAGTGCGGCTTTCGTTGAGAGAGAGAGAGAGAAAGAGAGTACTTTTCACATGTAACAAGAAAGTCAACGATTCTCTTTGCAATCAAAGTTATTTCATTGAAACCACTGAAAGTAGAGATTCGCGTTTGTTTTTCCGTTACAGATTCTTTTTTTCTTTCCTTATTTATTAATTTAAAAACTTTTTTTTTTACCAATATGTAATATAAAAATTATTTTTAAATCCAAGGAAATAAAAAAAATATATATATTTTTAGTAATTAGAAATATTTGTTTTTTTTTTTGTGGTGGAATTATTGTTTTTATTTATCTAAAACATATAAAAATGATAATTATTTTTATAATTTGAATCATTGACATTATTGAATGAATTTCTGATAATAATGAAAGTGGATTAAAGTGAAATTACCCCACATGAAACCTTCAACTATTGGCATTCGTGGGCAAGCCACAAGACTGTAACATTGTCGGAACATGGGACGCTATGTTGAATAAGTACACGTACGGATTCCACAAATATTTCAATAACTCTAGAATGGGATAACCAGATAGTCTACGATCTTCGATCCTATCGTATATATACAGCGTCCCTCCGCAAAATTGGAACTATAATAGACATTGTAAACGAATACCTTAACCTAACAAACTTGAGATTCTTCAATTAATTTTATATATTCTTTAAATAGAAACGAAAAATTTCTGAAAATCTTGTAATAAGAATATTTTTCTGTAATTTTTGGAAAAATATTCTTCAAATGAGAGTATTTTCCAAAATTTTGGAAAATATTTTTAATTTAATAATTATCCAACCAAAAATTTCAGTATTATACCAGAGTTAACTACTGGCGCAATACTGGTTCAGTATTGGCTGCCGAGGCTGGGCAGTGTGTACTGAACCAGTACTGGTATTTTCATTGTATCCGTACTGGCGCAGTACCACCCTTCTAGTACTGGCAAACCAGTACTGAGCCGATATTGAGCCAGTACTGGCTCAAATAAATTTTCTTTTTGATTAATACTAGTATACCAAAGAAGTATTACCTGGAGTGAAACTTATCTCTGTTACAGTTAAAGCTTTCTTTTCGTATACAATAAATTACAAAACTGCCAGTACTCGTCCAGTACTGAACCAGTAGTGGTTACCAATACTGGTGCCAACTCTGGTAGCCAATACTGGTAAAATATTATCATCCCAAAGTTACGCTAACTCTGGCGCCAATACTGGGTGCCAGTAGTGCGCCAACACTTGTCAGTACTGCGCCAGTACTGCGCCATTAGTAAATTTTTGATGGGATTGTTTTCCTAAGATTTTGAAAAATATTTTTTTTTATAAATATTATTCCGAAATTTTGGGAAAATATCCTTTTTTTGTATTGTATCCCAATTAAAAATTTACTACTAGCGCAGTGATGACAAGTGTTGGCGCAGTACTGGCACCCAGTATTGGCGCCAGAGTTGGCGTCACTTTGGGATGATAATATTTTACCAGTATTGGCTACCAGAGTTGGCACCAGTACTGGTAACCACTGCTGGTTTAGTACTGGCCGAGTACTGGCAGTTTTGTAATTTATTGTATACGAAAAGAAAGCTTCCTGTGTAGAAATTACCATATTTGGCCCAAAAATGACTTGAAACGCCTCAACCAATATGGGCCAGACCTGGGAAGCGTCAAAATGTGGCTTCTTCTTGTGGCCCACATCGGGTAAGTCGTTTCATGCCAATTTTATGGACGCCAGATTTGGCCCAGGTTTGGGCCAAGACAAAATTTCTACCCGGGTTTAACTGTAACAGAGATAAGTTTTATTCCAGGTAATACTTTTTTGGTATACTAGTATTAATCAAAAAGAAAATCTATTTGAGCCAGTACTGGCTCAATATCGGCTCAGTACTGGTTTGTCAGTACTGGGAGGGTGGTACTGCAACAGTACTGATACAATGAAAATACCAGCACTGGTTCAGTACAGACTGCTAAGCCTTGGCAGCCAATACTGAACCAGTACTGCGCCAATAGTGAACTCTGGTATAATACTAAAAATTTTTGGCTGGGATTAGAAAAATATCCATAAAATTAAATTAGTAAAAAATATTTTTTATATTATTAATTATTTAATAGTAATATTAATATTTTCTTAAAATATTAGTTACATTTATTTTCAATTTGGGAATTTTTTTTTTTTTGGTTGCAAGCAAAAATTAACAGAAAATTTATTTCTGAGACTTGTATAGGCGCTTGTATGGTATATATATATATATATTGCCTTGAGATCGCTTGGCCAATTATGAAACATTTATTGGTCTCTCTATGAACTGCAAAGCGAACAGACTTAATACACGTCCTGTACGTCACGAGTTTCACGCTGCTTGCAAAACGATTGGAAATTCGTGCTTCTCGTGCTCAATCTCGTCGAACTCTCATAGCGTCGAGATGCCCAGAAGATACAGTAATAATTTCCTGTCATCATGCTACGCGCTTTCAATCTAACGGGTACTTTAAATCCTCTCCTCTCTCTCTCTCTATTTATGTATATATACACAATATATAATATATACAATAGGAAAATTCTTTCATTAGCTGCACTCAACCTTTGCGGTAAGAAAAGAAAAAAAAATGTAAGAAAGAAGGATGAATAAAATTATAAATGAGAAATTATATTTTTCTCCTTTGGATATTTTTGTATTCTGGACATGAAAGTAAATCGTGATTGAGGTTCAAGTGGGAGGGGGGGGAAAGGAGACTATATATCCCCACACGTGTTGAGAGGCCAAAATGCCTCGTAATCGTATTTTATTCAAAGGTATATATGCATAAAACATATATGTAGGGCCCCGTTCAATTACGCAGGCGCTTCCTTTTTTTTCCTTTTTTTTTCTTTATCATGGTGCATGCAAATTATTCAAAAGCTCACATGAAAGATGCATCCGCACTCGTTTAACTCTTTTGTTTCAACGCGCAAAAAAAGAATTACATTTTACAATTGTTTAGATATATAAATGCGGTTATGTGATGTATGCCGCGAAAAAGTAAAATTTTTTTTTCGAAATTTTGAAAAATAATCTTATTTTGTGATTCATTTTCGAAAATTTTTGGAAAATATTCTTATTTTAAGATTATTTGGAAATTTTAGAAACAAATATCCTAAACTATTTTTATTCTGAAAATATAAGAATATTTTCCTACATTTCATAAAATAATTATATTTTTCAAAAAAAAATTTTCGAAAATACTCTTAATTTAAGAATTATTTTCTAACATTTAGAAAAAGAAAAAATTATTTTTGGTAATATAAATTAATATTAAAAATATTTTTAATAATTTAGTTTTAAGGAGAGAGTAAAAAATATTTTTCTAATATAATAAAAAAAATAACAAATATTTTTACTAATTTAGTTTTAAGAATGTAGAAATATTTTTTTTTAACATTAAAAAAAAAAATAATCTTAAATTAAGAATAAACGTAACCAAAAATATTTTTACTACTTCTAAGGAGAGTGGAAACAATTTCACGAATTTCTCATATAAAGTGCAAAGAGGGAACTTAAAACGTGACATTAATGATCTTTAATTAATTATCTTTACTACCGACCATTAAACTTCTACATGTGTATAATTTACCTCTATTGAATTAGTCCTCCTTTAACATATATATATAATTATTTATTATTATTATTGTCATCGATCCCAATATAAATATTCATTAGTCTCTCTATTCTGAATATTTAAATTTCATTTTTTTTCCACCACGCTTGGAAAATAAATTTCGTTTTTTTTTTTTTGAATAAAATGTAAATTGGGAAAATTCAATATTGAAATGTCGACCTCAAAAAACAGAGATCTAATTGTAAATTGATTTTGTTTTTTTTTAGCACAACAAAGATCGCCGAGGATAACGGAACATCCGTCGGATATAATAGTGGCCAAGAATGAGCCGGTAACTCTCAACTGTAAAGCCGAGGGTAAACCGGAGCCTGTGATAGAGTGGTACAAGGATGGTGAACCCGTTCCAACATCACCGGGTGATGCCAAATCGCACAGAGTTCTGCTTCCGACGGGATCGCTCTTCTTCCTGAGGGTGATGCACGGGAAAAAGGAGCAGGACGGTGGTGTTTACTGGTGCGTCGCCAAGAATCAAGTTGGCAGCGTCGCGAGCAGAAATGCGACCCTCACAGTAGCAGGTTAGTTTTAATCTCGATTTTATCCTTGGTAGAGAGGAAGAAGGAGAAAAAAAACGAAGAAGAAGAAGAAGAAGAAGGACAACGACTCTTGTTGACAAGTTGATTTCTCTGTATTTCTTTCTTTAACTCTCTTACTTTTTTTTTCTATTTCTATTTTTTGTTTTGGTAATAATTGATTTTTTCGAATTTTTATTTTTTGTTTTGGTAATAATTGATTTTTTCGAATTTCTGACTGCAAAAATTCTTCTACTACTGATATCAAAAATATCTGACTAAAATTGACTTTTTCTACTTGTATTAAAAATTTAACTAATTAATATATTTGTGTCTTACTAAAACACTGTGCCTTTGACTACTTATACTTAAAATTACTACAAATTACTATAACGAAAAGATCTAGAATTTACCATGACTGACTAAAATTAACTTTTTCTACTTACAAAATAAAAAGTACTATTTTTATTTCTGACTAACAGTGCCTTTGACTATACTGAAAATAAAATTACTACAAATTACCACAAAAATTACTACAAATTACTACACAACAACAAAAATTACTAATTACCTACTAATACTAATTTTTAATTACCTACTAATTAAAAATTTAGGTCGGCCTGTTTGACTAAAACTGACATTTACTACTGGTACTAAAATTACTGCAAATTATTGACTTAAATCTGCTTTTGACTACAGATACTAAAATTACCATAAACTACAACAAAAAAATGTAAATTTATACACGGAGAAAAATGGAAAAACGAATAAAGTAACTTTTACTACTTTAAAAGTAAAATTGGACCTGTCCGAAGTTTCTGCGCATCTCTGGCAACTTTTACTCGAAAAATAGTAAAATTGACTATTTCTGTAGTAAATTTTACTGTTTCCGTAGTAATTTTTACTATTTCTGAAGTAAATTTTACTATTTTTGGAGTAAAAGTTGCCAGAGATGCGCAGAAACTTCGGACAGGTCCAATTTTACTTTTAAAGTAGTAAAAGTTACTTTTTCTTTTTTTCCGTGTACTAAAATTGGCTTTTTCTACTTGTACCAAAATTTAACGAATTAATATCTTCTTTGTCTGGTTAAAATTGACTTTGACTACTGATAATAAAAATTAATACAAATTACTGACGAAAATTTTCTACTGGTACTAAAATTACTAGAAATTACTAACTGAAACTGCTTTTGACTACTTCTACTTAAAATTACTACAAATTACTATAACGAAAAGATCTAGAATTTATCATGGCTGACTAAAATTAACTTTTTCTACTTACAAAATAAAAAGTACTATTTTTATTTCTGACTAAAAGTGCCTTTGACGATACTGAAAATAAAATTACTACAAATTACCACAAAAATTACTACAAATTACTACACAACAACAAAAATTACTAATTACCTACTAATACTAATTTTTAATTACCTACTAATTAAAAATTTAGGTCGGCCTATTTGACTAAAACTGACATTTACTACTGGTACTAAAATTACTGGAAATTATTCACTAAAATCTGCTTTTGACTACAGATACTAAAATTACCATAAACTACAACAAAAAAAATGTAAATTTATACTAAAATTGGCTTTTTCTACTTGTACCAAAATTTAACGAATTAATATCTTCTTTGTCTGGTTAAAATTGACTTTGACTACTGATAATAAAAATTAATACAAATTACTGACGAAAATTTTCTACTGGTACTAAAATTACTAGAAATTACTAACTGAAACTGCTTTTGACTACTTCTACTTAAAATTACTAAAAAAATACTACAATCCAACAGTGTAGAATTTATCACGGCTGACTAAAATTGACCTTATCTACTTGTACGAAAACTTAACAAATATCTTTTTGACTAAAACTAATTTTGACTAACAGTCAATTTGAACACAGAAAATTATAAGGTATTAAAATAAGCTGCAATGCTTATTATTTTAATCCAATTTTGCTTATTTTAATATCAAAATGGATTAAAATAATAAGCGTTGCAGCTTATTTTAATGCTTTTTAGTTTTCTCTGAAAGTATCAAATTAATACTAAAATTACCTAATTTTTAAATTAAATACTAGAATTAGATATTATTAACTAAATAAAAAAGTTTCACATACTAAAAAAATAATTGTCACTCGGTCTGATTTAAATCGGCTTTTACTACTGATACCAAAAAAAAAAAAGAAAAGGAAAATAAAAATCTTATCGTCCGTAAAAAAATCTTCATCAATAAATAAACAAGAAATTCGATAAAGTTTTCTCTTGTCTAAAATTGGTGCACTAAAATTCCAATTAATGTCTGACTAAAACTTGACTTTAAGTACTTAGTGAAAACTTATATTCCATTTAGAATCGTTTTTTGAAACAATAAAAGTGGAATTCACTTTTATATCATCGATTCAAAAATTTCAAAAATTCGTAAATATTACGTTAATGTAAATTCAGATATAGAGTAAGAATTCGAATAAATGTCCGAATTTATTTTAATACCGAATATAAATTTTTTACTTTAAAAAGAAAATCTTAAAAATGACTTAAAGTTTTTTTTTTTAAATTTTCTAATTGTTCAATTTTTTTTTTTATTATTATATTGATGGCTAAAAACAAATTTTTTTTCGCGAATAAAGTCATCTATATATTTATATATATATATATATATATAGCGAGTGCGAGGGCATAAATTGCTTTTTAGCTTTCTGATGTTGAAATTCAAGTGGGACGATATCATTCGGTGAATCGGCTGGTGATCAAATCGATCGACATTCTTTTTATTGAATCGTATCGACACACATTGGGTTTTAATGGATACCAGTTAGAATAAAAGAACGAAAGAATCGATAAAGCAATAAAGGCTTGCTTGGAAAATATACGATGACTCTGTGGATAACCAAGCGTACTTGATCGTAAAAGAATGGCACTCATCGACAATTGTCATTGGCACGTTGATACAGAAACGTTACCAACAAATACTTATTTTCACAAAAAAAAAAAAACAAAACAAAACAATGCTTTGTCCTACAATATAATCCTATTTTTTTTTTTTTTTTTTTTTGTTTTTTTTCTCGGAACAATATAATCGAATTTCTTATTGGCAAATATCAAATTTGTTTTTTTTTTGGGAAATTTTTTTTTTATATTTTTCATATCTATATGTTCTCTGGAGAATGTTTTGTTATTATTTTGCAAAAAGGTCAGACTTATGGTTATAAATTTAGCAGATGGAAAGTTGGAGTTTACACGAATACGATATGATTCATGTGCATAAAAGTAAGCGCACGCGCGCATACACATTTGGTTGCCATTAGCATTAATTACAGTATCGCGCTTGGTTTACGCTCTTGTTTACAATTATTTCTAAAGTTATCGAGCGACATAATTTTACAACGCGCGCGTCCGCTATCTTATATACACCTCTCTTTTTTTCTATTATTTTTTTTTCCCCTTTCATTTTTGCGCGAAAAGTTTGCTTTCCTTTTTCTCACTCTTATGATTAGGGAAAAAAAAATTTTTTGAACACAAAAAATTTTCATATAGAATCGACTGTTATAAAAATTTTACCCGGAAAAAAAAAATCTTTACTAGAAATAGCAATAAGTTTCACTGCAACAGCGATACGTTTCACTAAAAGAAGGAAAATTTTCTCTATTATAAAAAAAACATATCTTTGTTCCAGATAAAGATTTTTCTGCCTTTCCTTACAGTGAATTTTGTTTTGAATTTAAAATAAATTTTCGAAATTTTGAATCTGTTGTTAAATATTTTATTATTGTGTTTATGATATTTTAATTTGACTTTCTATATGAACTTTAAACTTTTACCAAGCGCGAGATAAGAATTCCAAGTACACATGCTTTCATTCAAGTGCACCTCAACACGTACTTTACCTACTGAGGTATTTACCGACCTCTTTAACACCTCTTTTCACTTGGCGCATATATACACCTCTATATCCTCGCGACTAATGTGCGAAAACACTTATCAAAATTATCTCTCTTTAATTATTATTATTTTTATATATTAGACGCGATATTCTTTTTTATAATTGGAATAATTCAGTCTGTTTCTATTCCTAATTAAACATTTTTATTTTTTTTTTTTTTATTCTAAGTGCGAAAAATTATTTCATTTGATTATTTATAAAAATGTTTCCCACTAATTATTTTATTTACTTTTATTAATTATTCGTAAAGAAAAATTAATAATTGTAAATTACAGTAATTATTATAAATAAAATATATATTTTGAAATAAGTATGTGGTAAAAAAAATAGAAAATTATTTTTTGCAAATTAGAGCGAGAGAGAGAGAGATATATAGAGGGACATTCCGATGAAAGTGTATTGCGACATTCTTGAGCAGGAATGTGAATGCTAATAATTGAGCACGCCTTGTTTGCTGCTCAAGTTCACCAATTTCATGAGGGTCTCCGGTTCTATAATTTGTCCCTTACAGATGCAATGGAGTGCTTGTGTCAGCTGCACGATTCGAATGAACACAACAGGTTTGTTTAGGTGACGATCGATATTGAAGCGTGGCAATTTGATATCAATAATAGAGCACCAGGCAATAACTGATTCACAAAATTGGCTGTATGATCTCAAATAGAAATGATCCTACTCTATCTATATATATAATTCGAATTTCAACTATATTTATTTACCTGTCCAAATCTAAATTATATACATGGTAACAAAATTATGTGCCACTAAGTGAAAAGTACATTAATATTTTTCAGATTCAAATTCTTAAATGATATAGAAATTACAATTCACCAAATTTTAATTTGTCCGAATATTTATTAGTCCGAATTTTAATTTGTCCGATTTTTTTTAGTCCGAATTTGAGATTGTCCAAAATTTTATTAGTCCGAAGTTGAATTTGTCCTAATGTGTATTAGTCCGAATTTTTACCATTCCGAATTTAAGATTGTCAAACTTTTTATTAGCCCGAATTTTTATTTATTTAAATTTGAATTTTTCCAAATTTTTATGAATTTGAATTTGTCCG